AAAATTTGGAACGGTGAGTGAAAACAATGTCAATGTGAGTAAAATTGGGAAATGGTGAGTAAAAAGTGAGTAAAATTGAGAACGGTGAGTAAAATCGCGATCAGTGAGTAGCAAGTGAGTAAATTTTAGATTGGTGAGTAGCGTGTGAGTAAAAAATTCGCGAAATGTGAGTCCGAGTATCGGCAGCCCTGGCTCAATCGCAAAAGAATGGCCAAATAAGTTTGAGGAGCAGACTACAGCAGCTAAGATTTGATGCTGTCCGGTTTTCCTGCTCAGGGCAAAACTTGGTAAGAGCAACTAAAGATTCGACCGTCAAAATCCCAAATGAAGATGGAGGAATTTGCAGACGCAGGCATTTTCATAAAAAGCATGGAAACAAAATGGAGTTACGTCCATCCTTACTGGCAGAAGTTGACTCCATCGATGCAGTGAAGGGTAAATAAAGGGCAAGCTGAGAGTTAGGAATTAGGGCTGGTTCTCAACCTAGGAGGAATTAATTGTGCTTAACTAGGATCCCAGTGATAAAGCACTTATAGAGCGACTCCAATTGAGACTATGATGCCAGCAATACCGCCTACCCTAGTAGCCACGTAGGAATTGATAATGCCTAACTAACGAAGCAGTACCTCAAGTGAAGAAATTGTAAAATACACGAGAACTCACCGATGATTTGCTCCTGAATTCAGTAGAATGATGTACACTAATCATTGTAACGATAACTTGAGCAATTAGGACACTTATTTTCTTCAAAAGTAAGAAGCTAATTAGCTGCTAAGTACAATCGAACAATGAACATTGAAGAATGGCGGCGCTACAGGTGGCAGCAGAAGATCTTGCAAGTCACGGTCACGGAATCACACAGGTCAGTCATTCCCGAGGACGAATTTTGGTACTCTACTGCGCAGTGACGTAGTATTGAGTGCATACAATGTATTTCTTATGGGAGCACTCAATAGTACGTCACAATGAGTGCTGCGAGTTAGGGCCGGGCGGGGGAGTGGATTTAAAAAAAGCTGCGCAATGACTGACCTGTGTGGATTGGTCTCACGGAATCAAAATGGCAGGGTCCGCCGGGTGCCGAGCCGAATGGCCCCCGGACCCGGCGACTCCGGTGACGTGCCGTGCTTTGCGATATATCGATTCGTTTGATCTGCGATTTAAATCTCTGGAAAAGGATCGATAGACAGGGTATTTGCAACGAGCACCTTATCTATCGATCCTTTACTATAACTTCAAATAGGGAAATATCGATAGTCGATCATTTACGCCTCGCCACTGGCGGACTATGTCCTGCCCCTCCCCCNNNNTGTTACAATGTCTTGAGAAACCGGAAACGCTCCCAACGGAAACATCGGAAACCACTCATGTCGGCGGAAATGGAAACGGGTGCGTGATGAATAAAATTAAATTTTCATGATGTAGAACACTGTGAACACTTGGGAAAGTACCAAGTTCGAAGAGTTCGCGTTTATAGACTGTCACCAAAATATTAAACCTGTCCTTAAATAAAATTCAGTGTGCTGTGCGAGAATCTGGAAGTTATAAATTCGTACAGCGTACTAAGTTTTACTTGGTGATTTAAGAATAAAAGGCCGTTTATAATAGTATAATGTAGAAGGAAGAAATTTGTTATTTGCTACACATATTGTTTTGTTGCTGTAAACTGATTTATGTACCGGGCTATTTTGGTTTTTTTGTTAGCATTTAAGTTGACTGATTCCTTTGAAAATTGTACTTGTCTATTAACGCTAATTTCTAACCGGAGTAAAACTTGATTTTGGACTTCCAAAACCTGATGGATGCGTTTGGCAAGATGATCAATAAATATAGTTCGCTGTAATGTGAGCTTGAATTACTTCTACCGGGTTTTTTAGTCGTAGAGGCTTTACAAATTTGTTCGGCCTGGTGCGAGATTAATTCAGGCGTCCCTTATGAGGGGGGCGCCATCCAATTCCCTCCCCCGATTCCCTCCCGAAACCGATTCCCTCCCCCGATTCCCTCCCAAGACCGATTCCCTCATGCGGCCGGAACCGATTTCCGATTCCCTCCCGGCTTTGAAGTAAATTGAAATATGTGGCAACGTCGCAACACTTGATCAAGTAGTAAGACGAAATAATCAAGATCCAAAATAAACTCACCATTCTCAGATACACCTGATACCGCACATTTTCGGCCTCCCGTTATTACACCCCGACAAAGTGGGTGACTCATTCGTGAAGTTTTTCTTGTTCGCACATCCTGAATGTCCTCAAGTGACGAAATTCGTCAATTACCTACTTCAAACGTACATCGGTGAAGGAGCCCAGTTCCCCCCGAAAATGTGGGCTGAACGATCAGCTGATCCAGCGCGAACCACCAACTCGTGTGAGAGTTTTCACGCGCGGTACAACTCCTTTTATTACAAACCTCATCCCGATTTTCCGAGTTTCGTTGCCGTGCTGAAGAGACTTTTCCGCGACAGCAAAATTTCAATAAATTCCGCAAATCGGTCACTGGCAAAACCCAGATCAAAAACTGCCAAAAAAATTGCTGCTCTCGAAAAAAACATATCCGAACTTCTCGAAAACTACAACGATGAAGCCTTGTTCCACTTCATTCGTACGGTGTCTCGTAGAAATTCGCCAAATGTTTTCTTGTGATTTTTTTTTTATTTCGTCTTATTTTTTTTGACGCGACCGACTCTGTACACCCGTTTAAGGTACTTCATAGAAATTCGCCAAATGTTTTCTTGTGATATTTTTTTTTTTTTTTTTGGTCTTATTTTTTTTTGACGCGACGGACTCTGTACACCCGTATTTAAGGTACTTCAAACTTCTACAACTTCTACCACCTACTCTTCTACTCTTACGAGAAATGGCGCTGTATCAGGTGTATCTGGGAATGGTGAGTTTATTTTGGATCTTGATTATTTCGTCTTACTACTTGATCAATTGTTGCGACGTTGCCACATATTTTCAGTTTACTTCAAAGCCGGGAGGGAATCGGAAATCGGTTCCGACCGCATGAGGGTATCGGTCTTGGGAGGGAATCGGGGGAGGGAATCGGTTTCGGGAGGGAATCGGGGGAGGGAATTGGATGGCACCCTATGAGGGAGGTTTGGGGGCCCTTAAGCCGAGTCTCGCCCACCTTTGCAAAGCCATGTTCCCCCATCCCCCTCCATCTGAATACATGGGTCTTTTCGAAATGTATTTTTCCAGTCTCCGTAGATCTTTTTTGCATGTATTTTTAGTGTTCTTGCGATTTATCTGCCAGTGACAGCCCTGATCTACGTAATTGAGACGTGTGTCTTACTTTACTTCAGCAAACGTTTTTGACCAACTATAGGGCCTTTCTTAGTCTGGAAGTATACCATCCACATTGAAGGCGTTTTTATCCCCGATTCGATAATGATCTTCACGCGTTCTGTGCAATACTCTGCTTAACACCTGATATCACTTCGATGACTAAAGTATGTGAAACCGCGTACCTCCGTTTGCGATGGTTACAGACTTCCTGTCTAATTTCATGGTTTCCTCGAAAAATTGGTTTACCTAATTCATCGAAAACTTTCTCGAGTTTTCCTCTCCATCAGAAGAATATTCAGGAAAAATTTCAAGCTATGAATTTTGACTAGTTTCTCCTCGAAAAAATATACTGAAACCGGAAATTTTGAAACACCGCAATAGATACGTAGTTTCGCGCTTTTCGATATTTTTGATCTCTCTTCTAAGGTGATAATGGCTCAAATTTTAAAAGCACCAAATGAGGAATATGTGACAATTCTTTCTTTAGGAGAAGACCATGATGAAATAGCTGAAAAAAAAACATTGTTTAATTCCTTCGGGATTGTACACCAATTTTAATGTAGTACATTTTTTGGCTTTTTTGACCTCTTCCCCCTCCCTCCCATTTACGGCCATGTAAAACAACCTATAGTATCCTCCGTTATGAAGTCCATTACGTACCTAACCCACCCCCATTATCTCCTAATAAGGTGAGATTACCTTCCAAGCAGTGTTCGAAATTCACGGGCGCCAAATGCGCTTTAAAAATCGGTCATATGGCGCCTAAAAAATGAATGCTCTGCACCAACGTGCGGTCCCCTAAAAAGTCCCCCCCCCCCAAAAAAAAAAGAAAAAAATCCTAATTTTTCTTTTTTGGTGATTTTTCGAAAGTTACAAGTTACAACTGCTAATTCTGTAACGAAAACATCTTGCGTCTGACTTTTGGACCACGACTTTAGGACTTTATGGACCACGCGGCTCCGAAAACTATAAGGTGAGTTTCGAACACTGCTTCCAAGGCCGCAGTTTCCTCCGGTTATAAAGCCTAAAACAACTTAAAAAAAAAAAAAAAAAAAAAAAAAAAAAAAAAAAAGTGGGATTAATGCGGATATGAATTGAATTGAAATCACTCAAATATGAGCTTTTTTTTGGTCCATATTCTTTGGAACTATTGCTTCCAAAATAGCCGGGCGATATTTTCAAGGCAATCATGCAATCAAGAAAAGGTATATTGGCATTGCACGCTACGACAGACTAGCGTAACTGCTAAATAAGAGAAAGGAAATGTATTGTGGGAAACACACTAACGACAGAATCAGTTGGTATATTTAAAGCAGCTGGAGGGGTGGAGTGGTTGTAATTTGTTTTTTCAACTTCTCCATTTATCCAGGATATGTTGTGAATTCTCCACCCTCCTCCCCCAAATCTTCGAGAGAGGGATGAACGCGTTGAGATAATCCGCTAAGTGTTTATGTATCAGCACTATCATTACAGAGGCTAAACGCCTTCAATCATCTGTCGATGGCTACACCCATGTTATCAACGTAGGTTTAGTTGCAGCACTAGCACGGCGCGTCTTAATGATTTTGGACACATCTTGAATGAACCGAAGATTGAAAGGCGACGGTGGCGCTTTCGACGTTTCTCAGAAAAGCTTGGTGTGAACTCACCAATCACAATTCAAATAACAGGATTTGCCCAAAATAGCTATCTTTCCTCGCATTTCATTGGTCATCAGAATTAACAGTGAAGTAGTTGGCCGGATTGCGCGTGAACGGTTGCGGTTCCCGTCGAATTTTCGGGATGTTTGTTTTGTTGTGTTTTTATTCTGTGTTTTGTAAACAGTTTGCTCAATAATTGATTAAGTTAATTCCTTAAGTTCAGTGCCTTTGTTTTGATGTGCTTTCTGACAGGGAAGGATTATTCTTCGCGTTAACCTCAAGTACTCGGAGTGGAATTCTCATCAAGATGGCGGATTCGAGTTATTACCAGGTGAGATATTTTTCACCTGTCATTACCGCTGCATGCACTTTGTATGATCATAATTTTCCTAAAGAACACTTGTCTCCTCAACCCATCAATTAGTCCTACTTGCGCCCTCTTTGTCCTCTGTAGGGCTCAAACTTTCCTCCTCCAAACACCGACCCATTCACTGTGGGATCATAATTACTTTCAGAAGGTTGCTCAATTAACTTGTTGCTTTCTGTTTTCTTTTGACCTCCTCAGACTACAAGTACACATCTCATGCTTCTCCCTCGAAATATTCCGTCTCATGATTTATAGAGATCTCCATCTGATCCGTACTCATTTGAATTTGTAAACATAGCTCACTCTCAAGTTTTTCACAGTTTCTCTGTACGATTGATGTACACCCTATCTCAATTGTGTACGAAGCTGTCCAGTATTTTCAACGCAGTATCTTTTCATGGGTGTAGCTTGGTTTTAATGGGCTCACGGGCTCATGTTCACATCATATGAGTGGTCCCTAACCTCTAGACACCACTTTGTGGTTATACCATTAACCTACATGCCATCAGCTTTCTTTTCAGAAAGCTCTAGTGCTCTTTACCGAAGGCGCGGTGCTCTTATTCTTGACACAACTTCATTATTTTAGTGACCTCGGATATCGAATTCCTTGCTACTTAGTTGGATCTCCTCTTGTCTGATATTGTTTTAATTAAGATTGTCAGTTCAAGGCGAACCACTAGGTCTGCAGACCCTGGTGTAATATTTAGGTACCAACTTGTCATTAAATATGTATACTTCAGCCTGTTCTAATCTTTCCAACTTATGCTGATGACTCCAACTTAATAGGCTTTATCATGAGCTACCTTCTGTTGCCTTTGTTTTCCTTGTTGTGATAAACTCCAGTCACAAGCCTTCTTTATCTTAGAAGGAAAGTCTCTTGTACCTAAGATACTTAATTGACAAGTTTTTACAGAGACCATCTAATTGGGAAAGTATCGGTAGAGCTTACATTCAAAGCAAAGCCCCCATTGTACTATGAGGGATCAGTGTTCTACTTGGACAAAGGTTGCTGATTTCTAACCTTAAAAAAACACCATCACTCGCCACGTAGTTTTCCTCTAGGTATACCCTCTCCTTACTCAAGTGTTAAATTTGGTTCAAATTGATGTTTTCTTGAAAAGAAGTTAAGCGTAATAAATCCATCATAAAAGCAAATGTTCTTTACCTATGTTTTATCATTTTGAATGTTTAGAAAGGGCTTCAGCTAAGGTTGTCATCATCTTGAGATTCTAAGTTAGTCGCTCCAGACAAGGCCTAACATCATTAAATGTCTCAAATAACATACAGGTATTGGATACTCAATTGGTATTGATTCAGTCTCATTGATAGTGGCCTTATTGTCAAAGTAAACGTCTGGGATACTTCTAATGTCCTCTGTTCACTAGAAGTTATCAACCAGTCCAAACCACGTAAGGAAACTCTTGAGTATTTGGTAGGCTTGTCGCTAATTCAAATGTTAACTTGCAGCATATTCGGAATAGAATTCAAATGATTTGGGACATTATCGGACGATTGGTATGGGGTGAAAAGCTTCATAAAGTAGTATGAAGTAAAGTAGTTCACTTTGACAATGTAGTTAGCACCAATAAAGATTGTTTTTTTTATTGGCACACTGTCTTCTACAGTTCCTACAACCTATTTAGATCGTGTCTAATTTGCATTATTGAAGTTAGGAATATGTTGAGGTATATTAGGTTGGGTTCAGGAATGCAAGGAAATTGATTGTTGCTCAAAATTTCAAATAGACCTCTAATGCGAACCCAAAAACTTTAGATTCTTGTTGAAGACGAAGTTTCATGGAAATACTCCTTGCTCTTTGCACTAATTATTTGTGAAAAAAATTCAAAAAACCAATCACTGTAATGGTCTTCCCTTAGTAGAAGTGTCTTCAAAATGCACTGTGAAACATGCTCTTTTCTACTCCTTCAAGATTGAACAGTGGCTCAGCGTCAAATGAGGAGCTTGAAGGAGAAGGCGCACAAGTGCAGTTTTTGGAAAAATTGAGGTATTAATGATCTCAAGTAAACTTAGTCTCAATGCAAATTCCCTGGAAAATTCGCTCCCAAACTTAAATTTTTGAGCATCAGAAATTAAGTTTGGACTGTCTTCCCGCCAAAAGGATCCATGTAATTTCGAAACTTGATACAAGTATTTCTCAAAATAGTAAAAACTACACTTATGCGCCTTGTCCTCCAAGCCTCTCATGTGCTTCATCGTTAGTCAAAAACTGGAAATTCCGAATAATTATTTGAGTCGCTAGGTAATTAAAATAATGAAGACTCATATCCCCCCCCCCATCCGACGAAGACTGTGTTGATTTTTGACTCATAGAACATCAACTGTAAGTATCCTCAAATTGCACCCTTAAATTATACCCCACCTTGCTCAAGATTGATGCTTCAGCTCCTTGAAGAATGAGCTGACAGTCAATGAACTGATAATTACTAGATTCTAGGACATTTCTATAGAATTTCCAAGTACCTCACCACGCTGCAGTACGTCATGTATTTTTTTTACAAAATTTCGCCAAGAAACACTTTGCAATCGCTTTAAAAGTAGGTACGCAACGAGTAAATGACGCAAATCAAAAAGGAAACCTATGTGCTGTACTCACTCGAGACGTATACCAAGTACTGAAGTTAATTCAAAATGTTTCTTGGTCACATTTTTTGTATTAATACCTAGCACACTACTGCAGGGTGTGAAGCGACCGAGGGATCAAGGTAATGTCAGGAATTTTTTTTTTTTTTTTTTTTTTTTTTTTTTTTTTTTTTTTTTTTGGTCAGGGAAACGTTAGGAAAGCCGCAAAAATTCAGCATGTCAGGGAATTTCATTTTGCAAGCGATTTTGTATGAGGGAAATCGAATGATCTATATTTTTCGAAAATGAGTTTAGGCACCGTGTATTTCACTCTATTTATTTCATTATATTCTGAAAACACGAAAAAGTTCTTCCTTGCATCTTTTTAGTTCAACGCTTCAACTGTGTCGAAAAATTACGTATACTTTTCCTTTCTATCAGAGTAATATCAGGGAAATGTTTTTCCCTCGGTCAGGGAATTTTGAATTTTTTTTGTTTCCAAAAAAAAAAACAACAAAAACGCTTTTCCTGTCAGAGAAGTGTCAGAGAATCTTTTTTTTTTTTGAAAATTGCTTGACACCCTGTACTGCGTAATGTTTTGCCCGGAAATGCTGAAGGAAATAAATTCAAAATTCATCAAAGGACCAGTAGACAAGGACTAGGTACTAGTCAAAGCATTCTGACATTGTTTTCTCCGTGTAAAGCCTTACATTATATTTAGAGCCTCAACTGAAAATAATCGGAGTCAAGCCTTACATAGTTTTGGCATCTGCATATAGATATATCTTACTCAACGTGTACAAGGTGGTTGTGTAATAGAAGTTACCTTATTTAGGTATTTGAAACTTAACGACGGCTTAGGTCCGCAACCCCGTATCTAGTTTGCGGTGTTTGAAAATCTCCGCTCTCATTTTATTATTTTAAAGGAGGACAAATTGACGTCATTCCTTGAAATTTTCGCAGAATATTCTTGGCACAGAGAAGAAAAATCACTGCAGTTTGTAAGAATTGCCGATGAATAGTTTTCCATTTAAAAAATATAGTATGACAGGAAGTCTGCGACGTCGCAAACCGAGATACGTGGTTGCGGACTTACATCGTCGTTAAGTATGTTTCTTTTTCCTGACTTGAGCGACGCGCGTGTTTTTTCGGCGCTCCGACTCAGCTATTGCATGTTGTTATCACTCTTAACAAAGAAGGTTACCAAAACCGATAGGGTACGTGATTTGATTCAAGTAGACAATTGTTTTTCTTGTGAGCGGAGTATTCAAATTTCTTGCAACCAATGTCAAATAAAAACGTTAATATCTTAGTAAGGAGTTCTCAGTAATGGGCATCCCACGAATCGTTTTCTGCGTAAAATTTTGGTAATGGAATCAGTATCAGAATGTTTAAATCTGTATCTTGTCTTCTGGTATACAAGTCGTCCGACTACCTGCCGAATCATTCTCTCGAAAGTGCCACCTTTAATTCTTTCCCTGGCCAGTGGTCCATTTCCATCCGCGCAGTGGGTCCTTGAAATTTGGCAACACTCTCGTTCCTCCATTTAGATGTGTGTAAAACAGTCGATTCTTGGTGAGGTAGCTCTCCTCACCGCTCGATCGATATTTTTAATGGATTTAAATTGAGGAATAACAGTGTTGCAAACTTCCAAAATCGCCATTGCATCCGCGGGGGAGGTCGGCTCAGGAAATGGAGCGGCCGATTTCGACGACTACTTTTCCTCGGTGAGTTCCCAATTTTTCCCTCTGCGGGCTGATAATTGAAATTTATAGACAAAGCAATAGACAAGGAAGATATACGAAGTATGGAGCGATTCTATCGGTTGAAATGGGTGGCTACGGGGGTGAATGATGGGCTAACTATAGGGTCTCTGGTGGGTTACCGTTAGTTAGTCTTTGGTCTACCTCCTTTGCCCATTGCAACAACTCGCTTCCACCGATAGGATCTCACCGTGTCCCTTTTGTCTTCTTTGTCTACAGCTTTGTCTATCAACTTCAACGATCAGCCCGCAGAATTCTCAGTGGCGAGAAAACGCGGATGGTGAAATGCTCCTAATTAACCGCGGGAACGGAAGTGACGTGTGAACCCGCGGATCGCGAACCATTGACGATTATTTCGCCGAAGGCACTGCTGCACGAGTAGGTGCAGCGCCCGTCGATCTCGGTACTTTCATGCGCCTGGCCGCCGACTTTCCACATTTTTCCGGTTGCCTTTCCGCCGAATTTTCCTTCAATTGGACGTTCCCTGTTAAACGGAATTAAGCGCCAAATTGAGTTCTTTTCGAGGAATCCGAATAGCGCGCTCTGTCAAACTGACCTAAGCGCCAGGGAGAAGTATTGCGAGTATAGGACGGAACGAACATCGCGTTCCGCAACACCCGC